GGCTTCAGTTCGCAGACGAGCTCGTCTGTGTTTATCTTTATTAACTTTTAGTATTCAACTTGCTTGTTCATTATTGAAGCTTATAAATGTCATATTGTAAATGTCAAAATATCGACAAGTAACGATAATAGGATATGAATATCGATTTAAAAACCGCACAAAAACGTTGGTTACTGAACTCGACTTTGATGCAGATCATGTTTTTGCAGATCAAGAATGAAGGGTAGAAATGTTGCGCGCAGAATACATTCGTTACAGTTTTCAAATCTTAGAAGTTTTGTAATTTGCCACAAGCAATCTTATTCAGATAGTGCTTAGTTTTGATAGAAAACAAAGCCTTCTAAATTTTCTACATTTGCTAATAGATGCTTTCGCCAACCCATTCGCTTCCCTAAAACCTCGTCTACGAAATCAGTTAAATGCCACTCTTAAGAGTTTGTGTGGCCAACTGCCTACACACTTTTCATCTGAATGCTATAAATTTTTCCAGCCTCAATATTATATTCTTACGGGAACATCGCTCGCTCTTAAAATAAAAACTACGCTTTTGAAAACGAGATACAGTCAATTCTTCGAATTCCTTTCATGAACATTGTAAAACAGGCTACTGCTGAATAATGAGACACAACTATGTGAGTTGGGGCCGAGCAATGATTTAATATTGTTCTTAAAAATTTTATGGTTCTGTGCTTGGGTAGTTTTATAAACAATATTCTTATGAAAAAGAGTGTATTTTCAAAAGATAGAAGTGCCTGATACTAACTTTTCGAGTCAGTAGCCTTAAGCAGACACGAAAATAAACCATTAGATGTCTTAGGGGGTTGGGGCGTAGAATTCTAAAGCACCCAAAGGTAGTATCCAAGCGTTGTCCAACCCTAACCTGTCCCGCAGAAGCTGGCTTCCGTGTGCTCTGTACAGTTCCTGTCCGATGACGTCACAAAATCGAATTTTAGAAGTAGTATTGGATTCACGTAAAGAGCACGGTGTCCGTTACCCTGGGTACCAGACTCACTATATAAAATAATAGAGAGTCTGGTCTAGTGCGCCCCATTCTCGTTCTGGTGAACTTACTTGAAAGAACTGAAGTCTATTTAACAGACTAGGCCTGTGAAACAAGACTGTCAGATAAATAACAAAGAAACTCAGTAGTCAGAGGAGTTTTGGGAAATCTTAAAGCAAATGTGTTTTATTTAGTTCTTTAAAGTCGACATTTTTAATACAGTGGTAATAGACTTTTCTGCCTCAAGATAACAAAACAACCAAATCAGGTTTAAAACGCCATTTGGCAGGAAAAAGCATGTGCGAAGCATGAAATTAAAGTTAGCACAATGCAGTTATTAATCGATATAAAACTCATTTATCAGCAGATAAGCAGTTATCGAATTTCGTATAAAACTCAAAAAAAGTCTTTTGTAATTTTCCTCATAAGTTTTGTGTACTTTGAACGTCTACTTCCTCACTATGAAGGCAGCGCGCTTGGACACCGCGGCGGTTAGAATCATCACAGTGGAAGGTCACCACAGCAAATATGGCCAATACGACAAGCGAAGCCCCGTATGCCAGGCGAAATATTAGCTATAACTGATTAACTGTGTTTGTTGTTGTTTGTTCTCGGCGCCTTGCGGTGTTTCTTATCTACTGCATTCCACTACAAGGCCTAATTTCTTTGCAACGAGAGGCACAGCCTGAAATATCAGAGACTTTCCAAAGCCAGTTGGCAATATGGCGAAGGTGTCTCTTTTCTTTACAAACAAGGCTTTCAATGCTGTTCTGTTTTCAGTTCCACAACATGCAGAAAATATTGTTTGAGTACAGTTTTAATAGCATCTTCAAACGCAATCGTTACGGTCGCTAGCATTTATTTATGTTCTATTCTGTTCAATGTTTTACACCAGAGCTAAGTTTATTGTTTCGCTGTGACCTTTGAACGTACAGAAATCTGTACACTCGCTCCTGATTGGTTAATATCAGCACATCAGAACGAGAATGGGGCGCACTAGACCAGACTCTCTATTTTATTTCATATATAGTGAGTCTGGTACCCAGGGTAGGTGTCCGTCTTCTAAAAAGTGGCAGTCATTTAGGCGTCATAATAGAAGAAAATATGAATTGGGAAAAAGAACTCAAAACGGTAAAAAGTAAAGTTCAGGGGCAATATTTAGAAAACAAAATACAGTTACGGGGCAATATTTAAGCTCAAAAACCTCCTCAAAAACCGATTTTCAAGCCCGTTTAGGCTCTTTTTAATTGTTTCTTCAACAAATACGAGGTTTATCCACGCGTTGCACGAGAAAATGATTTCAGTTTGGTAAAACGGAGAAATACTTTGAAAAAGTAAAGCCTTTAAGATTGAAGCAAATATAACAAATTTATAAACCTGCAACAAAAAGTTGCTCCTTACCAATGGGGGCCTGGCAGGGGGGCCAGGACCTCCACCTGACTTGTTTATAGGGACGCCAAAGGATGTATAGGGCGCCGAAAACTTGGAAAAAGTTTGATACGACTCACTTGTCTGGTTATTAGGTCGCTAGGAGGTCAGCAGAGACAAAAAGGACGCCTTAAAATTCAAAACTTCCTTGGGTTGCATGCCCCATACCCCCTAGAACAGTCTCACTTCAGGGCACGTCTTTATGCTCCTTTAGTGCTGTATTACCCAGACAAAACATTGACTTCATGCTTCTCAGGGACACCGGGAAAGGGGGCACAGGGGGTCAACTGTCCCTGTTGCCTTTTAATAGGATTGGCAAGGGGGGCCAGAGTGCTTTTTTCATTTAAGTGTCCTTGAAACTGGCCATTTCTAAGAATCAGATAGATTTACATAAAATTTTGGTTGTAGTTCTCAATTTGTGACGACATTTCTTAAAAATTCCTTATCTTAACGGTTTTGTTTTGTAATGAAATGTTTACCTCATTTTGTATCAATGTCTTATAATCATTTCTAGCACCTTAAACTTGTGTCATAGTGATCGCATTTTCCAGCCTTATGATTAACTGGAATCCTCCACTTATTAGCAAGGACGTCTCTTTTCATTATTTATTATCCTGAACCCCCCTAATTTGTCCCCTGACTGTCAGATGTGTTGTATGTATGTTTTGAGCTTGTTTAGTTGCCCAAATGTACAAGTTTAACAAAACAAAGGTAAATATTTCTGGCGCTTTGGATTCCCCTCCAAGGTGCCAAATGAACACAGCAAATACAAAGAGAACAAAAACCCTCATTTTACCACATCGTAGTGGGTAACTCTTGGAATTTCCCCAAACATGTTCTTGACACATTTTTACTCAGTTTATCTGCTTGGATTGGCTTCATATCGTACGTGAATCAGTCCAATTTGTCCTGACACCTCTATGAAAAATTATCATATTTGGGACCCTATGCTCACGAGGGGGTCAGTCTATCTTGACATACAAGGTTAAAAAATATAAGAGCATTACCAGGCTGCCAATCCTTTCTTGAAACGACAATAATGTTAGTTATGAAGGGCATCATTTTGCTGCTGGCCCCTCCAGTCGAAAAAGGCCAGGCTGCCACTGCTCTATACAACACATTTTTTTGCGACCCTGGAATGAACACCCTATAAAAAGCGTAGAGAATTTAGAAGCATTCCGTTGAGGTTTTTTTAATTAGGTTACTGTTATTTTTTCCCAAGCTGTTTTCGGGCTCTTTCTGTATTGTGCTTTTTTCGAAACTCTCTTTGGACCAGTCGGAGGAGACTACCGAGGGAGGAAACATCTACATCTATCTACATCTACATCGATACTGAGCAGGACCGAGTATCGGTATTATGCTCAGAGTGCAATAAATAATGAAATAAAAGTTGAATGGATAAAAAGTGCTAGAAGATGCCACTGATCAATGATTAGATTGAACATTTACATGTCAAATGAGAAGCTGTAATTTTGTATGTCGGCAAAACCGAATCAAAAAGGGACTAGAAATTAAAGGGGACATTGAAAGGGTATTATGGTAATGAAACACTTTCACTTGACACACTCAGGGGGTAATTCTGAGGGCAATATACGTTTTTTAAAACCAGTAATATTCAAGGGCTGCTTGACTTCATATCAGAATCAAGGCCACAGCTTATATTCTTTGGCACTTTTTTTCCCTAACGAAACTATCTGGGCTTGAGACATTAGATCAAAAAGGGAATTCTTCTCAATGAAATCTCAGTCATAAAGCTTGGGCTAGGGCCCACGCCACCAAAACTCTGTGTCTGTCCAAAAGTGGAATGCATTCGCTCGTGACAGAGATTCTCCAACCTAAATTGAATGTTAGCCAACATAGCCCACGCCACGAATTTTAAAGTAGGAAGCCAAGGCCTTTCCCCCTTTTACTGCAGCTTTAAAACTACTTGCTTTGCAAAAAATGTGGGGGCCATGGTCATCCCCCCTGGCCCTGTGCTTCCAGCAATATGTCCCTTTTATTTATATGCTAGCAGACCTGTCAACCTTAAATTTTCAAAACCTGGAGATTTTAGATTTTTCCTAAAGAAAAACAGGGAGATTTGGTCAAAAACAGTGAGATCGATCAAACAGTTTATGACAAAAGTGATCATGAGAAGTATGTTTATAATTACTCTTAGTGCTTTTTTGTTACTCAGTAAGCACTAACAAAAAATTATTTTCACGTGGAAAGTCAATGTGACCTCATATCTTAAGTCTACTTCTGTAAAAAGAAAACATACACAATAGTCCTGTCTTTGAAGCATAAGATGCGCAGTTCATTTTAAACATTCGCTGAATAATCTTCCTATTATGTACATTCTGCTAGACTTCTTTATAACCGGGAGAAAAATTATAAAAACCGGGAGACCAGGAGAAAGCAGTCAAAGCCGGGAATCTCCCGGCTGAACCGGGAGGGTCGACAAATCTGTGCTAGTATTTCGCTTCTTTACCACGGCACGTTTTGCCATCGCCGCAGTGTATGGCCCCCTTAATTGCTGCCCATTGCAAAGAAGAAACTCTTGTGTCCCTGTTCCATTAGGAGGTACATGAAGTACTTTGTGTTTAAAATTTATAAACCTCTGTTCTGATGAAATTTTGATGTAAATAAGCAACTGGAAAGAAGTACTATTTCTTGGTTGAAATGGGCTCTGTTCTTGGCCTTTGCTCGTTGGCAAGTTGTGCACCATCGTTAACAGGATGCTGTGGTGCACAGGTAAATTTTTCAGGCATTTTTCTATAGTGTTGTCAATGAACTCGAAAGAACGAACTTCGTTTCCAACCAACAACACTTGCCAGATGCTTAACCGATATTATAAAGCAATTTTGCTGCTAATAAAAAGAAACAAATTGAGTTATCTTTCTTGTTAATTGTTTGGCTACTTTTAAGTGAGAATGCCCTAGTTTTTATTATTATAAGTTATTTATGTTTCATTATGATCTGCTTTTAAATTTTTGTGCTATCATTTCATTTTCTATTATTTCAGCTCAAGTAAGTTCTGTTTATTTCTAAAATTCCACTTAATGTGGAAATCTCTTTAAAGCTAAAATGCAATTTACTATAATTACAAGTTCATCAGTGGTGGTGTAATATTTAAAAACAAGTTTGAATCTATAAGGTAAAGGATGATGTCTAGTCTGTCAAGTGTGCGAGAGGTTAGTCTGCAGAGTGTGGCATGAACACACAAAACTTTTCAGAGGCTTGTCTAATGCACACAAAAACATTAGGCTGCACACACATTTTTCTGGGTACTGGAAACTTTTCAAGGAGCAGCTTTGAGAAGGCTGACTTTGCTATCTTTGTCTAAACAACATTTTCTTTAAAATTTGAAATGCTGATGAATTGGGACTTAATTTTTCATAAAATAACTTTAAGTTGTGTTGGTCAGCATCAGAACCATCTGATTGTCACAAGTTGAAGAAGCTGCTGTCTATAACTAAATTAGAGAATATGTACCACTTTTGCTATGTGCATATTGTGAGCAGATTGGGTTTCTCTATAGATGATACTCTCCTAATTGAATAAAATATGAGGCACATCTTATTCAGGGTCACTTTCAAGGTTTCAAATTGGAAAAAAGGGGGTCAAGGAAAATTGTTCAGGGCCACACCTTATAGATTACCACAGAATAGCCCTGAAGTCACCTCATATCTCGTATTTTGATTTGATATTTTGAAATGGGCTATGCTTGCCCTAAATCCATTGATGCCCAGAATTAAAAACCTACTGACTAGAATATTCCAATTCTCTGAGAAACTACAGTGTTAGGTTTATTGTCAATTTCACTAAGCCTGGGCTGTTAAGAAGAGGCCTTGCCGGTTACTAGCAAAGGACATGAAACGGTCTGAATAAAAGAAGTAAAGATAATTTGGGAAACTAAAGTGGCTGGCTTGTGCTCAAGCATGATTATAGAGTCAAGAATTTTCTCTGTAAGGATAATTCTGTGACTGAATTATGTTAAAATCAACTGACTGAGTAAACTTTTAGGTGGTTAAATTTCAATCCCACAACCCCACTTAGAAGTTTGACTAACTACAAGGGAGAGGGGTCAAAATAATTGAAATTTAATCATACAAAATATATGATCAACCCAATTTTGTGAAAATGCTTAAATGCGCTTTTGTTGTGAGACAAATTGACATATACTTTCCCCATAAGAAGCTTGCAGCACGCATCAGACCAATACTGAACGATGTGCACACATTGCACACTTTGTCAGCACTCTTGCACACAGGCACACATTTATATTTGCTCTTGCGCACACAAGATCTTGTTGAAAACTGCCACGCTCTGCAGACTGGGTGAGAGGCACACCTGTGATTAAAGTGCGTGAGAGGCATACTATTATAGAAATTCGCTTTGCTTGGTTTTTTGTTAATTTTGGCCATTTCATGAGAGTTATTTATGCCAAGAGATGATAGATGTCTGAATTTGTCCTGAACTGCCTTTGCTATGTTTGCTTGGTTTTTCTATTATTAAATAAGCAAATTCATTATGCAGATGAGCCCATTCTTTTTCAAAAATTTTTGGATGGTCGGTGTAGCACACCTTTCCCTTGCATAAAACTGCCATCAAAGATCATCTGGTGCACATTATCTAGTGTCACACATTTGACACACTCAGAAACTGCCACACATCCCACTCTCTCAGGAGATCACTGGCTGGACCTATATCTAGTGGATGTAATTTAATGTGATATTTTTCCATATAAAAAAGGAAGGTTAATAAAATGTGTACAATATTAATATAAAGCTAATTGAATACCCGGTAGTTAAAATGATAGGCATCGTATTAATCCTTAGGAGCATGGATTCCTGTTGACATATCTTACCCAGGCTTTCGTCGGAAAGGCGTGCGATCGCACGCGCACGCACTGGCGCACGCCTGCTGCTTTCCAGGAGTGCAAAACATCGCACGCTTTCTTTTATTATCGGAGCAAAATTCATAATTATTGGTTTTGTGCGTTTTTGAGATGAGTTAATATATTGATCCCTCCTTGGTACAATAACTTAATGCCACTTCAAAAAGGCTTGACACCTTTTCAGGATTGTGGAATAAATATAAAATTTTGAAATAATCATAGAACTAATCTACAGTGGAATCCTGATATTATGAAACCTGACCTGGTTACAAGTACAACTAATTTTCCGGCATGACAAAAAATGTCCGGCCCCTTGAACTCTGTCTCTGCACATTTTCCCTCTGTATAACGAATTCCGTATATAACGAATTCTCGTTATAACGAACCTGATTTAGTCTCTTCATCATAATTTTCCTCAATATGATGAACTTTTCCAAAAATATTTTGGTCTACTTATTCCCGGTGTATATTTATCATTATTTCTCGGTGGAGTCCTTATTGTCAGCGACAAAACATACATTGGCAAACATGCACTTTTAATGATGCAAAAAAGGAGAAGAGATTTGTGCAAACGTTTACACCTTTTCAAGGCTTTAAGGCATTTCATTGAACAAATACAAACACAGAAGACTATAACAGACATTTTGTCCCCGAATTTTAAGAGGAACATTTAGTGTTTTCAACAAGACTTTCATTTTCTATCGCTAATGTACGAAAGTAGCCGATTTTGCGATAAAAAGGAGCTGATTTGCCAATGATGCGGAAAAAAAATAACAGAGGATTTGTGGATTTCACTACCCCCTACAGCCCCCTCTTTAGACATCGCTATGCTTTAAATCTAGATTTTAGCAACATTTGATTTAATGAAAATTGGGCCATCATTATCTTTTATGTATCTGGCCAGTGAGGTACACAAAATAGCTGTCATGTTTGATAACAAAGGGCTCTCGGTGCACTGATTTACACGCAAAAACTGCCATTACAACCAGATGAACGCCAAAGCATCAATAATTCTACTAAGGATTCATTATTGAAGCTAATGAAAACTGCTTACGACATGGCAAACATATTTCTATACTGGTAGTGCCATTTTTTTGGATATATTAAATAAGCTCAGTTTATACTTGTTTAGAAAATTGCTCAGTTGCTATAATGTAAGTAGTCGTGGTAAGAATTCAGCGAAATAAATTTCATCAAATTATTGCTGTCATCATTTTCGTGTTGGCCATTTCTTCGTAGATCTACCATAATTACCAAAATGTTTTGTGAAAAATGTCACACGCCATCACACGCCTGGATGTTTTCAGGGGTGCGGTGGTTAGCACGCCTGCTATATTTTTCCCACGAAAGCCTGCTTACCACATGACATTAAATGTAATTTTGTGCAGAAAAGAATTTGTTGAAGGAGGGGCTCGCTCAATAAAAAGGTAATCCAAAAGTGAGTAATCTTGAACTAAATTATTAATGTAATTATTATGTATAATATTACGAGTCTACAAATTATTATTCAAATTATTTACATTTTGAATTGATTTCCTCCAGTTGCTTTGCTGTTGTGGTCCTGCTGCTTGTGGTTTATGTTGTCGATGCTGCCCAGCATGCAAAAACTCCACATCCTCACGTATTGGCTACATCTTGCTGATGTTACTTGGCTTTATAACATCCTGTGTGATGTTGGCACCAGGAATAAGGGACAAAATGGACTCAGTGCCTCATCTTTGTAACAACAAGTATATTACTGAGAAAACATGCAACAGTTTGGTTGGTTACCTTGCCGTTTATCGTGTTTGTTTTGGAATGGCTGCATTCTTTCTTATCATGGCAGTTGTTACATTCAAGGTGAAGAGTAGCAAGGACCCAAGGGCTGCTTTCCAAAATGGGTAAGGTTTTTTCCCAAATTTTTTTGAATAGCTACAAATAATATTGTTAGGAACTTAAATTTGTCTCAAGTTTTCTGAGACCATCATCTCAATAGAAAATTTGCTCCAAATAAGAGGTTTCCATGAGTATGGATTCCATTATTACACTGCTTTCTCCCTGTTTCATTACATGTAACACAGTAAAGCCTCATTAACCCTTTAGTTGATTACCTAGTCACTCCCCAGATGTTTTCTCAAGCTGTTCTTTTTTGCTTCAGGGCATTCTCTCGTATCCCTAAGTAGTTCCTGCCTGTTACTTTTCCTTGCAGATTTAAGCAACTGTTATATTAGTGATTTTGATATCTCCCCTTTAATCCAAGAATTGCTGAACACATAAGAAAGAGTCTTTAATTATAATCACATAATAATTGAACTGGGTCAGATAATTGAACAAGAATTGTTTCAAATAATGCAAAATGAAAATGACTTTTTGGTTAATTATGAAAATTTTTGCTAGATTTTGGTTGATAAAGCTTCTTTTACTGGTGGGCCTTGTTGTTGCAGCATTTTTCATTCCTAAAGGCAAATTCTCAGAAAGTAAGTATCTTTACTATTTGCAAGATGCTTCTATATTGATAAAACCCTCTTAATTAGTGTAAAAGAAGACCTTGCTTAGGCTCTTTAAATTATGATTTGCTTTTAGCATTTTCTTAAGATTTTCACCACCTTATTATTAAGGAATTCATTTTATTCTGCAAACAGTATAATGGAAGCTGAAAGTGGTATGAAAAGCTGATCAATCCAATACCCAGTTTATCTGGAGATAGTTATTGCAATCAGAATTTTTGGGTTTGAAAATTGTGATTGGATTCCAGTCTATGACAGGTTGTTTAGAAGCAATTTTGCCAAATACAAAATGGCAACCTTGACAGGTCACAAAGACTTGATCCCCAAAGGCATTGCATTGTTTGACTATTGAAGATAGAATTATAATATTGATAGACATAATCCGTTCCTGCCTTCTATTCGGTAGTTGCAAAAACATGAAGTTTTATCAATTTTATGCAAGGCAAATGTCATAGATACCTTCGTAAAGGTATTAGGGAGGATTTATATGTATGATCCCTGAACCACAGTATCTTCTATTTTTTTATTAGTTATATCTGTAACCACATTGCTTTCTTTTTCATCTCAGCTTGGATGTATATTGGAATGGTTGGTGGATTTCTTTTCATTGTTCTTCAGTTGGTTATGCTTGTGGACTTTGCCTATTCATGGTCTGAATCTTGGTGAGATTTAGGCTTTGTCTACTTTATAACACTGAGGTCTCCTTATTTCATTGTTTAAGCTTCCTACTTTATTTATATATGTATAAAATAATCTTCATCATTTGACATGATTTAGTTTAAAAGAAGAGTTTTTGTCTCTCTGTGAGCATAGTTTGCTTAACTGATAGAATTGGAACTGCTTTTGAATTTACAGTGAAAGAAAGCAAACTGTTTGGTTTTCTTTGGTCTGCCAAGGCCTAGGCACAACCTAATATTACTTTTCGTTTATACTGCCTTGACTTGATAATTTGTTGATACTTCTGTTTTAAATTTTAGGGTAGAGAAATATGAAGAAACTGGAAAGAAGATTTGGCTTGCTGGTGAAAATTAAAATATTTTGAAATTCCCTTTTTTTTATTTAAAATTTCTGAATATAAGAGTCTATACAGGACATACAGGTTCAGCCTTAATGTATTTTTAACTGAAATGCTAATATTGTGACAAATTTTTCCAGGCTTGATTTCTTCAACTGGTGGCATGTATACACTGTCAATTGTTGCAACGACTCTCCTTTTCATTTTCTATACAAAGGTATATGTTGGATATGTTCCTAGAAATTGTTTGCTTCTTTCATTTAGCCGTTTATTCTAGTGTGAACAAATTCTGTTAAAAGGGAAGTATCATTATTAGAATAATGTCTGTCACATATACAAAGAAATTGTGTGAATTTTATTTAGCGTGGAGAAGCCAATTTTGTAGTGTCTTCATGTATGTTTTGAAATCCGATAATGTGTGTGGATTGATGGGGCTTAAGGAATCTAGCTGTGAAATAACAAGTTCTGTTTTATTACAGAGTTCAGAATGTGGCCTGAATAAGTTCTTCATCAGCTTTAATCTGTGTCTTGTTCTTTTGGTTTCTGCCATGGCAATTCACCCTCGTATTCAAGAAGGTAATGGTTTGCCTATTTTTACTCTACTTGGATTTCATATTTCACTTTACTTATAACCTTTTTCAAAACTCTATCTGAAGAAATTCCATAACTTTCAAAATTAGCATAGGGTACACAAGCATCTGACCTTGTACGTTTTATTTTGAAATTGATCATGTCGTTGGATATGAGATTAGAAAAAGGATATATTTGTAAACTTTAAGAGTGCACATAGTAGTAAAATTCAGATTTCTGCCAGCATGTGAGGATTTATATTAAAACATTCCACATAGTAAAATTCAGATTTCTGCTAGCATGTAAGGCATGCCATAGATCAATGCAAACCTTTTAACTTGATAAATATTTGTATATTTGTGCAGCTCAGCCGACTTCTGGACTTTTACAGTCTGCTGTTATAAGTGCTTACACTACATATATAGTGTGGTCAGCTATGAGCAACGAACCAGGTAAATGTTTGATAATATGAATCATAAATAAAGTGTAACGGAAGGAAATTTTTGTATTACTAAGAATGAATCACTAAGGAAATTTTTAAACTTTCGACAAACCCATAAATTTTTTATCATGGGTTGTGATTGTGGTTTATCATGGTCATGTTGTTTCTCAACAAGGTTTGCTTTCTTATCTTTTTATTCTTTTTAGCAGATGTATATCTTGATATTCTTCTTAGCAGCTTTAAATCCAAGCGAACAATTTTATCAATAAAATTGATTTTTCTAGATGCAATGTGTAACCCAAGTGGCAGTTTGTTGCAGAATTCAAATTTGTCCCCTGGCTTCAATGGCCAGACTGTGCTTGCTGCAGTCATTCTTTTTGTTGCTGCTATATATTCGTGGTATGTTAACGGATACTGTTTTTTGCTATTCATTCTTAATATCTTTTCTCTATAAAATTCATGGGAGACACAATCACGGTCTTATATTTTGACTGTTTGCTGTTGTCATTGCTAATTCAAATTTCTAGTAATTGAAGGAGATATATTCTCACTTCATTATCATTCCTATGTGGCCCAAAATTTGGTCGACATTTGGATGCATTTAAATATTTTTCCTTATCGATTAACCCCAGTATTAAAAGAAAAATTTGATACGCCAAAGTCGACCTTTTCTTGTTTAGTGTTCGCAGAACAAGTGGTTCCAGCCTTAGCAATGCAAGGATCAACACTGGCAGTGTTGAGGTGCGTTATCTCTAGTCGTTTTCTATTCTAGTAATCTGAAAGCGTTGTATCTTTGTTCAGAATGACAAGGCCCATATAGTCTCGTTGCTATTACTCGTACAGTCTGTGTTGATTCATAGTTGATTCGTATTTTTGTGTTTTTTGTCTCTAAAACGTGTCTGGGGATTCTGGGAAGTTTTTAGCAATGCTAAGAATTTGCAGGCAATACATCAGGTTTTGCATCACCCTCTTTCAAAATTTATGAATCGAAACAAAAAAATTGCAAATTGTTAGGCACAGTTTGCGATTCTTTATGCAATGATTTATTAATTGAATTATTTTTTTATGGTTGCTCCGCTTTCCTGTGAACTAATATTTTTCATTTTTGTTACTCAGGAAAACCTTATCACCGAAAGTTCAGCTGGTAAGCTTGTGTTAATACCCTCGCGTCAATTTTGTCCATCCTTTTAGTAATTCTTGTAACTTTGTATGATGATGAAGTCAAAAGGAGCACATAAAAAATTGTTGGTCTTGTTTTTAAATTCTTTCTTAAAACTCTGAAGCATTATTTTGAAGGATAAAGTATTACTTTTTTAATTTTGTCTCCAAAATGTTTTATCAAAAGAATCTCAACTAATATATGCTAGATGTCTTTGTAAATCTTTTAATGTTTTCTATTAAATGCTTTCTCAATAAAAACTTGCATAAAGTCAGCTCATTCAATTTATAGATGATGGCGAGGAAGTGAAGTATAAGGGCCAGAGTGTCTATGATGATGAACAGAATTCGGTTACATACAACTATTCATTATTTCATTTTGCCATGTTCTTGGCATCACTGTACATCATGATGACATTGACAAACTGGTACAGGTAGGCCTTTGTAAAGTATTCCCGTTTGTCATTCAATCAGTCTATTGTTTTTGCTAGAAGCTATGTCGTTCAATTCTTTATTCAAAGGAGCCAGCTTAAAATGTCGAAGCTCTATCGCACTTCAGCTGCTATACCAATATGGATTTTTGTATTAATTCCAAGGCTGCAAATATTTTTCTGACCAAATAGAATAACTCCAGATTGGCAAATTGATTTTTTGATAGTAGAGTCAGCTAGCCGGTTGCCTTCATCTGCTATTTTCGGAAGAAATTTCCTAACATGGATTGATATGTTGTGAGATATATTCGGATAAATGGTTTGATACTACGAAGGAAGACGGATGCTAGTGAATCGTTTTATTACCATTCTTGCCTCAAACGACTACAGTTGCTTTAACGTACATGTGAAAAGTATGCAGGAAAAGGCCCCAGTGGGTACACTTGTATTGTTGAAATGACTAACCAACCTTTACTGTCATATTTTTTGTATAAGGTTATTCTTTTATTCATTCGCAGTCCAAAAGGCTCGGATTTCAGCAAGCTGACAAGTAACTGGGCAACAGTTTGGGTGAAAGTAGTGTCAAGCTGGATTTGCTTTGGCATATATATTTGGACCTTGATAGCCCCTATCTGTCTTCCCGATCGTGAGTTCGTTTAAAAAAAGCATAACTGTATGCGTGTAATATTGATGTTGTGACTGCATTTATTGTAGTCTCTGTAAATAGCTTAACAATTAGAATACCATTGTATCTACTAAATACTGAGGGGTAAATGCACTTTGGTTGTGTTGTGTTGTTGTTACGGACAGGGATTAATGTCTTAGAGCCTGTCATTTAATTAAAACTTGTGACGTGAAACTTTTTGTCTTTTTTGCTCTGGCCCTCGTCTTATTTTTCTTGTTACAATAAAAACAAATACAAACTCAATGTTGAGATGGAGGCAAAAAACATAACGTTATAGAGTTGCCTCCACACCCAACTTTACAAATATTCCAAAACTTTGCATAATACAATATAAATACACTATAAATACACAATACAGAACAACACAGCACTGTACAGCACAATACAATGCAATACAGTACAAATATAGGATAAATACAGTACAATACTGTACAAAATGCAACTTTGTAAGGTCATCGTGTTAGTTCAGGACGACAATATTCAATCTACCAGAAATAGCAGACAACGACTAAAGAGAGTTCATTACAATTGTTTAGTTTGCTTGACGCATTCAGCGGTGCATTTCAGTATCAATTCATTTGCTTTCTCGTTGTAAGCATTACTTCCAAAAAGAAGTAGATCACGTAAATGGTCGTCGGGCAGTTATATCATTGCCAACTATATCAGATATTTTATCAAGCAGGTTCATTCTATCAAGTGAATATTGGTAGCAATGCAGGAAATAGTGGATCGTAGATTCGACTTCTAAGTCACATTTACACATAGGGCTTGCACAAGCAAAGTTATGATTAAATCGATGTTCGCGTAAGTCAGAGTAATGAACTCGAAGACGGGTTATAATAGACGACTCACGGCGGTTGATAATACCATGTAATGATTTTTGAATAGCTGTTTGAATACGGATATTGTTGGAGCACCTCGGATTTCGGGGCCAAGGTCATTCCATACTTGGATACAAAATGGGAAAAAACTTTTAGAAAATTTTTGTGTATGAGGTGTTCTTGCTCTAACCAAGGTAAGACGACGTAGGTTATTTTGTAGGGGATTTTCATCCGGGATATAATTACGCAATTACCGGAGGGTCTGATTATTGGCAATCTTGTAGAATAGACAAAATCTGCGGTACCATCGTCTGTTACGTAGCGACTCCCAGCCGAGCTCCCCAAGTAGTCTGTCCGTGTCTGTGCCCTTCCACGCCCCACTAACGACCATTGTAGCCTTATATTGTGTTGATTCTAATTTACGTGAATAGGATATGTTTTCATCATGGTAAATTACATCACCGTAGTCAAGGTGTGGCCTAACATATAGCTTTACATTTGGTCAAGTACATTTCTCAAACTCGAACTTCAAACTCAAACTTGTTTTCATTCAGCAACAATCGTACAAGCTTTAAATAATTGCTAAGATTGTATACAATTGCTAAGATTATGATAGATACGCAAAAAATTACATAACAATGCTAGGATAGTTAAATAGACGTTGCCAAGGACACTGAGGTAGACCCAAAAAGTTCTCGTTCCTGTGCCTTTCCTGGGTTGATTACAAATACAAATAATTTGGTTTACAATATGTAATACACTTGTACATGAAAAGTATCAATATTTAAGGTTTTACGTGATTTGAATTTTTTAAGTATAAAAAACAGCAACAAAACAGATCAGAAAATGGGGTAAAAAATTAAAATAAAAATGAAAAAGATACTTATCTTGATAAGAAGCGAATGATTCCGATTCTCCTATTGGCTCTCATGACTGCTTCGTGTACATGCGCAGTGAGAGTTAGCCTTTCATCCAAAATTAGACCAAGATGCTTGTGTTTGTTGTCAGCAGTTTTTTTCTTGTTCATTGAAAATTAGAGGGGGATGCCGTTGGTTTTGTCCTTTTGTCGAGAATAAAATTTCCTTTGCTTGCTTAGTGGCAGCGGGATTGAAAATCATTTCCATTGAAAGGCCCAATTTTGTATAATAGCCAAGTCACGATTAAGGGCATCTGCTGTCAAACCATCTTCAGAAATCACTTGGAAAATAGATGTGCTATCGGCAAAAAATTTAACTCTAGATGTTACACCTTCAGCAAGGCTCTTTATATATACTTGGAAGAACAGGGGCCCCATTTCGGATTTTTGTTGATAAGTAGATCAACACTGACATTTTGATTAAACCTGAATTTATTTCTAAGTTATTATTAAAATGGGGTTGAAGGCACCAGTTTGCTACAATTGAGGGGATCAAATATGACGGATAAACTTTGCATAAAGGTAAGAGGTTGCATGTTACTTTCATGATTTGAATAAAAAACCCTTAATTGATACAATGATTATTGCTAATTTGAATTTGAACCCTTCCTTACTATTCCTGCGCGCCATTCAAGTGTGCCTATTAGCATTTAAGCTGATTGAATAAACCTGCTTTTTGAAAGATGCAGTGGCCCTAAACTGGTTGCATGACCAAAAACCAACGAAAAACGAAGTTCTTAACTAGGTCATAAATTTAAATAAAAAGGTCAAACGATGCATAACTGGAGAGTCCTATCTGCTTAACCGAACGCAATAATTTTCTGTTCAAAAACAATTTTATCAACAGCCAAGCGATTGCAGGTTTAGACCGTATTTTCTGCAACGCTTTTTTCGGGCTCTCCTTCGTTTACTGAAAGAATCTCAGCTACAATTCATCCTTTGAATTAAAATATTTGACCCTTTTACCACCTATGCTTAGGCCCAGTCGGCAGTTAACATCGGCGAAGACAAATGAATCTGGCGGGTCGAAACCTTTCAATGTGTCATTGGTAAAATCAAGATAAAATAAGGAAGTTCCTTATTTTATCTTGGTAAAATTTAGAAGCTCAAGAGGCCTTTTCGTCAAGTCTAGCCTGATCTTGATCTTTGCGTTTTTGCACTTTTCACGCGATTTATCTATGCCAGTGCGAGCTTTCCAGCTTGTCATCCTCAATATAACTGCCTGGTGTTTTTCGCCATTTGAATTTGTTTTATATCGCACAAATTCTGTGAGCTCTATCATAATCACCATCAAATAATTTCACACCTAGTCTTTTGACTTCATCCTTGCCTTTATCAAACACATCGGAGGCAGTTGCATCCTTTTCAAGAGGAATACCATGGAGTCGAAGGAAGCCTTCTCCCATATTGTTCAAAATCATAAACATGTCTTTTTTGAAGTTGGACGCTGTTTTCCAGAAAAGCTAGTTTGCCCTCCAGTAACTCTAACCTGTCTTCCAATGTTGAAATCTTTTTGTCCTGTTCGTCAGTTCTTACTAACAGCTGTTGCTCGAGGTTGTTAATTTTCTTATCCAAGTGATTGATTGTAGGTAGTTTTTTTACTGAATTGTTCAACGGACGGAGGAGTCTATTGAATAGGCCCTCCATGTCCTCCATTTTCAGTTTCGACCGAGTTCGCCGAGTTTCCGACATTCTCAGATATTAACCTTAAAGTTAAAATTTAAGATCTTATTTAAGATTACAGAATACTTTCGACAGTTATTTGGCTGTGTTACATTTTGGTTATGTCAGCAGTAGAAACGTACGGCTGTTTACATCTCACTGTCTTTAGACTCAACCGCCTTCATTTGGTTAAGCATGCAGTGGCCCTCTTCTTAAAGTTACTGTGCATGTAACGGAATCTTTCACAATATTAACATTCGACTGTTTGTCATTTTCTGGGTTTTATGAGACTTCGCAGTGTTTTGTCATTTTTATATGTTAGCTCCTATTGTATAGTAACCTACACCTGATGAAGACATCAGCCCAAAAACAAATTTGCCATCAAGCTGGCGCAATGAAACGAGCAAAGGATTTTTTAAATAAACCCTTTTCACTGTAGGCAAGTCAGTTGTTTCTTGTGTGTGGGAGAAAGTGGTTGTTGCCCCTCGATCTTCTTTAAATTTTGTTTTTGTTGTCACGTAATCTTTTTGATGAATTGTGATAGGTGATGTTGGTTTTTTGTTCATCGATATAACTCTGAAAAGAAGGACGCACGGACATTGCTTGAAAAAAGGAACATTTTATTCGGACGAACATCAAGACACAGACGAATCCAAGAACTCTTCTGAACCGTATTCATATTCTATATTCAGGTGACATTGTTTCGAATTTATTCTGATTAGCTTTAGTTCTTGAGTATCTTTCTATTTTATTGATAGTTTTTTTGTTTTCTTAATATTAACGAGTTGAAGTATTATTATCTATCTATTAAGTTTAACTTACATACAGTCCTCTTTTCTCGAGTTTGAATCTATAGATCCTTAATATTGAACATTTTCGTGATTCTAACTTGTCAGGGTTAGAGAGGGAGTGTCATATATTTATCACCTCTCTGTCTCCGACCCCGAATTGCGATCCTGTGACAGGATAATTTCTACATTGTGCTTTGCCTTGTAGCCTCCGTCAGATGCATTTACTTCGATCATAAGTATAATATAATTGTATATAATTGTTAGCTGATATCGACTGATATCGTGGTGGTCCTCTTATGAAGCTTATTTGCGTTTAGTACTCTTTGCTGCATGCTTCGTTGCTGCCTGTTATAGAGATATATTGGATTTATTTCGGTTCTAAAATGAAAGTGAAGGTCATTGACATTACTTTCATTGTTTGACTTTTTCCTTGACCAGTCACATTTCCTGATTAGCTCATAATCGTCAGCAACGTGACTTGGCATTCTTGCCTCGTATATATTTTAATACTCATGTTTATCAATTAATATCAGGAAACTGATAAAATATCAGACGCTTAATGCCCCTTATCTTTCAAAGAAAAGGGTGCCACCAGTCGTGTAAAGATATATCAAGATAAGCTATCAAGCCTTATACAAGGTTAGGTGGATTTAAACCACAAAATTTTACTTTTGTTGACGTAATCGAAATATCTGTTCATGACATTTACGAGAAAGACATTTCCAATCTGCCCTGTTTATTCTTACACACTCCAGCTCGACAATCTTCAAAATGCTTTGTGGTCGGACTGGGGATCTTTGGCAACTATATTTAAAATCTTGATGTCATATCTAATTCTACTCCGCAGAAGCGTAAGAACTCTGGGGCTCCTAGTCAGTGATATACTTTGCCTACGGTTACATGTGAGGAGGAAGATGTTCTTTCTTTCCAGAATGGTTTGAAAATATTTTTTTTACAATAATTCACAATAGGTATTAAAAATATAAGAAAAAAATTCTCTGCTTAGTCAAAACTCGCCGTTCTCGAATTTTAATTATATAACACATTTTACTTTAACTGAGAATGTTATTTTTATTAATCAAATTTGTATCTTATGTTGCACAACAATGCAAGTCTCGAAATTGATTTTTATTTATGCTTCATCAGACCTACTATCAATATTACATTTATTCTTGCGTTATGGACAAATCCAGTAAAAAAGTTAAAGAGAGATAAATGTGTTGTTTTACAATATAATTAGAAAAACAGAAAGCGTTCTCAGTATTGCAGCCACCAAAGTACAGAAAGAGTTGCTTTGGAGTCGCCAACAACATCAAGAAGAAGCAAGACAGATTGTCTTTCCATGTGTTACCCTGCATATCAATTTTGTATACCAAGTATGGAAAGCTATAAGGGAGTACTGCAAAAGGGCAGTATTTGTTAACAATGTTAAGACCACTGATCGGTATTTTTGCAACATCAACAGGGTATAATTTTGCACCTTCCGTATCCCGTGTACTGGCTGACTTACATATCACTCTACATTCTAGATGATCTGATATGATCAAATGATTTATAGTGCACGTTATGTCTTGTTCATTCGTTGGCTGGACACCCTGTTACAGGTTAATCGCCAATAGCGATACGATTACTGCCTGTGGAAGTTCCTTTCAAAAGAAACGTGTTTTCTAAGTTAAGCAATTCATGCATGAATCTTTTGTCTAGCATGAATCAGTCTGGTGTTCCGGCTAGATAAATCTCTCGAGTTTGGAAAATAAACTGTTTTCTGTGCCTTTTATAGTTGCAAATCCTCTCCTTGTTTCTGGATGATCAAAAGGACAGAGGAGATAATTTGCGGTTTCTTCGTATTTGCTGCCGTTTTCATTGCAAAACTTACATTCAGAATAGTTTAAATACGACTTGTGGCGGAACACAGCTCCCTACCTCATGTTGGTAGAATGTTTGCTTCATATCTTTGTGAAGGATAACCTCACGCGGAATCGAATGAATTCGGTTGAAATGATGAATAAAGATGAAGAAAAATTTGCCGCAGATGCATTTGTAAGAAGTAAACTGATCAATATTTTATTACACGACTGCAGACATACCTGCCGATGGTCTCTTTGAATCAAGACAGGTTGAAGACATAAAAGAATGACAATGATTTACAGTGCATTTGCAGCCCCAGAAGCTAAATTATTTTTGTTTTGATCGTTACCAGTAGAAAGCAAGGTAAGCCATACTACATATGCTGCATAACTTTTCGTAGAGAGTGAGTTTTAGTAGCATTTAAGGTATTAATTTCGTCACGGGGCTTGAATGTTTCGTTAGTTTAGCCAAGTATTTTGAAGATTCTCTGACATTTTTTCTATAAACCGGCATGAAAATAGTATTCAAATAGGTGTGAAAAGATCATCAGTTATGAGTGCAAAGATCATCAGTTGCTAATGACTTAGCAGATACATATGAGAATTTATTTTTATTCTCACACATCATAAATTTCCGGACAGAAGTAACATAACAGAAGTAACAAATTTTATCTTTGTCTTTATTATAAGCTTTTTATCAACACAGTGTTGTAGTGTCCAAAAAATCAAAACGATTTTAGGGATCGACCAAGAAGACGCAAAAAACAAATAAGCTTTCCTTGAATTTCTTATTCGGTTATTTACCGGGCAATTTCTTTCAATTGTATGCTCAATCAATTTTCCAATGCAATTCTCAATCAAGTTTAAGTTGAGCAACTTACAGTAAGTTAAACCACTCTCGCGCGTAAAGCAAAGCAACCATTGGCTGTTGAGAAAACCAGGCCATTGTTTTCAATCTTAATAACATCATAGGGATCCAGAGTAATCGTATTATCTTATGTACGTATCATATTGTGCTAGAGTTAATACTAAAGGCGTCAGTGATTTCGAAACAAAGAAACTCCAGCTGACGAGAACGGGTAGTCTATCCAGTAACCTCCCTACCAAACCTATTTTATAAACACAGTTGACGGCAAAAAGGGATTGTTTTCATTTGAAGGTTCTGCATCAGCTCTCAGAGATTTGAATTAAATTTGCTATACCTGACAAAAATTTAAGCAGTTGTGTACTGACGTGTGGTTTATGAATAATCTTGAAACGTTATTACAAAAGATGCATAACTAAAATCAAAGCTGAATTTTTCTCAAACTTAGATATAAGGCTGCTACTTACAATTAAAGCCTTTTTCCTTCTTTTCATTCAAGAATGCCGTCTGCAAAGAATTCCAAAAGCTCAAATGTGCACCATCCGCCGACCAATCGAGCATTTGCATTGAGAATGATGAACTCAAGCCAAAACACGGAGGGCAGAGTAAGCCCATTTGACAAAGCATTGAAACCGTTTAGAGACAGTTTCAAGAAAAGCAGCAAGAGCAAAAAGGCAAAAGAAAAGTCAAGTCCTGCCACTACTGACTCTCATTCTGATTTAGAGAGTAGAGACGAAGAATCATTTGACTCGACATATGAAGTGTCTAGTCCAACGTATGATAATCATCAAAGAGAACATGACACATTGCCCTGGACAAGTCAAGCAAGGAAGGGTCACAGTGACGACCGACAAAATTACAAAAGTGTTGATTCAGTTACAGCGTCACATGGGTACAGATCTCAAAATAACCCCCATGCCGATTCCGATCATGCCAATTATCATCAAAGGCATTTAGAGCATCGAGGAATGGCTGATATTCTCGAGGAGGATGAGTTTTACAGTGAAAACGAGAAATCCCGTGGGGAACGCCTAGGCCATTACCGCTACGAAAATGGACAACATCAGCAAAGAAGCAGGCAGATGAACGGTCAGGGATTTTACCATAGGGACACGCAAATGGGGGCGTTTCACAGTCCCAATGAATACCAGGGAATGGATAACAACTTTAATGAGGCTGGGAATGACAGTTCTTTTTTTGTTGCCCCTAATGGCGAAATGGTAAAGCTCCGAGAGAAGAAGAACAAAAATACTGAGCAGAGGAGTGGAAGAGAGCAAAATTCACAGATCGAAGCCTTGCTACCAGAAAGGTTCGGCAAGCGTCTTTCAATGCTATGTCACATGCTGGCAGAGAAATATCCAGAAGATTTTCACATTTTAGAACTTTTGGTTGAATTGCAAGTGTCGAATGAAAAAAGAGAAGAGGAAATGAATAAATCGGTAAATGTATTGAAGACAAAGGTTGAGCTTATGGAAGATAGGCTTCTGAACCTTGAGAGACAATCTACGCCCGGATTTAGGGAAATGTTACTGCCCCTTGCTACTGCCGCTGAAGCATTTAGCAACGGTGTACAGAAAAGCCTTTCGGGCTACTTAAAAAGCTGTGAAAATCGAATTGACAAAAATACCTCATATCCTTCCAGAGAAGAAAAAGCTAACGACCCGGTCTCGGATGTCAGGGTCTCAGAATCGTCAACAGTAAATTGCAGTGATGCCAGTGTTCCTGAGACTGAACGAGAGGGCCTAGTTAACCTAAAAGGAGAGGAGGAAACTTCAGTCACGATTTACAGCACGAAAATTCCCGAGCCCGATATTGCTGATGTAACAGAAAGTGAGAGTATAATAGCTACAGAAGATCACGAAGAACAGAGCAAAGACAGAAGTAAAGGAATGGACGAGGAAACAGAAAATCAAGAGAATCAATCAGTGACTGATAAAAAGATTGAAGCAAGTTCGCAAGAAAATACGAATGACAAAACTGAAGAAGGAATAATTGTTTCAGCTGAAGAAATAAAAATACAGGAAAAAGAAACTGAAGACAAAGTCGCAATCCGCAAAAATGGGCAAGACGAAGCAGTACATGGACATGTTGTCGAGGACCTTGGTAAAGCTGAATATGAAGCAACAGACGAGCAAAAATTGCCTAATTTCGGTAAGAAACCAGGCGGCAGACCTTTATCTGGCAGCGAAACTTCAGTTTGAATTCTAAGAAAAATTTTATGGGGAACACATGCATCAAGACAATGATTTGATGCACAGCGACAATTTCTGATTGCACTTTACTACATTTGTTAGAAAAAAATTTTTTACTAATTTCTCCTTTACCTCGAAACATGTTGTACTTTGAACTTCGAGCAATTTATTTTACAGGTATTATTTATAAGAAAGAATAAACAGTCAAACCCCGTCATCATGGAGGTTGCAACCAAGGGCAAAAAGACATACACCCCCTAAGTTGAAGCCCTGCCTGCTGTTAGCCCTATTAAAAGTTCCTGCGAGACATTTGCGACAACATTCTCTCTTCTCGCTTCTCTCTTCTCGCTTCTCTCTTTTCCCTTCTCTCTTCTCTCTTCTCTCTTCTCTCTTCTCTCTTCTCTCTTCTCTCTTCTCTCTTCTCTCTTCTCTCTTCTCTCTTTTCCCTTCTCTCTTCTCTCTTTTCCCTTCTCTCTTCTCTCTTCTCTCTTCTCTCTACCGCCGCACTCTTCCAAAACGCCCTTATTTCCAGGGCCTCCGATGAAGGAGGAGCGGAGGGGCGGGTGGGGGGCTATGGCCACCCTAACAGTTTTGGAAAACAATGGAGCTTTTTTTAAAAACCCTTTGTTATGTCTGTCAAATCTTCCCTTAGCCCTCCCACTTTCCAACATGCGTCGGAGCCCATGATTTCTCTATACCCCATTTGACGCTTTGGAACCCAGGGTACTGGGCTGTATGATTTCAGTCAAATTCATCATTCTGAGACCTGACTTAGCATGAATGGAGAAATTCCTCCAGCTAGAGCTATACCTAGAGTATGCTCACTCACCAGCGTCAATCTGTAAGAAATTCGAGAAATATTGCGCGGTAAAATAAGCCTTTCCTGTTAAACAAACAACAGTATGTTGTATTTGTCCGAACACCTTTGCCTGCGTCAAAAGTTTAAGGCCCAAATGTTGTTGGTTGAAAATAATCACACAAGAATATTCTACAAAAACCTTTCTGATTATAGTCAGTGGTGTAGCATTTTACCATGCAAATTTTGAGAAATATAAACATTTTTATGCATTTGATCACTCTCAATCATCAACGAAAAGACGTCCAGAATACACAGGCACCGCGCAGCCATTGGGCCAGCAGGGGCTTTATCCACCCCCCCCCACTTTTTGCAATAATAGGTTAGAAATTCTTTAGAAAGTTTACTCTAGAAATTTACTTTTAAAAGTTGCCCTAACGGATCCTAAGTGGTAGCATTTCTTGACCGGGAACCATTTTTTGTTCATTTTCTTGGCGTCTGATCATGTTAAACTATTCTAATTGTAATCGTTATCTTCTTTGAATCAGACCGTTTAAAAATAATAAGTGGAAAAAGCAAGTATTTCCTAAAAGGTGCATTATCCAGCGTTCTAAAGGGTGTGGCCTTTAAAATTTGTTGGTCACACACTTCTCAGCTCATCCACTTTTGCATGTCCAGAATAACATAAACATGTCCAGAATTTAATCAGTAGCGTAGCCCGGATGGTAAGATTGGAAAGGGGAGGGCAAAGGAAAACCAGAAAACACCCTTTGCCTTTGGGGGCGTATACCCCTTCTTGCCTCCCTCTCACTACGCTATTAGTTGAAATTGGGATATCCTCAAATGACTCTCACCACATACATACCCAGTCAAACTCTGAATGAGACAGGTTTATGTAGTCCAATGAATTCATTTCTAGTTGCACAAATGTTCAAATCTAGAATTGTGGTAATAATTTTTGTTTGAATAGGCGTAGCTGCCAATTTGTCTCTCCCTCAACGTTTTATCACACGTAGAATGTCATCATAGCAATAAAATCACGACTGGCTGAACGATCTCACCATTTCTATTTTCTCCCAAGGTATTGGCCAATCAACACACAAGATTCTAAAATAAAATTCGCGTCGCAGCTGAAATCAGGCTAATTACAAAAGTTTTAGCATCTTGTTTCCACAGTATCTAAGAAAAACATTTCACGCCTCTATGAACTTGATTTTTTACCAAATATGTTTCCATGTTTGTTCAGTATCATGCTTTAAAGCCGCCAATATCTTATCTCCTTTAGAAAGAGCGACATTGGCTAGCTAGCTATAAGAAAGTTTATTTTGTGAGAGTCAACTATTTGATTTCTCTACTCTAAGGGACTCTACATAACCAATTTTTTTTCAAAGATTTGATACTTTAATTTTAATTGCAGCAAAGATCACAACCTAACATTTGGAGAACTAAGATGTAGTAATGATGATTTGTTAATTATCAAATTCATTGTCCAAGTCATTGATCTTTTATTCGACCTGTTTCTCCATCTTGCTTATTCTTCTCACAATCCAGTTTGTTCACATAAAACTATTGCAAAAAATAATAGTTTTAAAAGCATACTCACATCACCCTGCCGAGGATGTCGAAACCACTTACGAAATTGACTTGAATCCAATGAAATCCCATCGTAATCATTCAGATAAAGTTACGTAAAATGCCTTTCAATAGAGTTTTAACTGTTTTGGATTTCTTGAGGCTTCTAATAATGAAACATTTCAAAATGTCAGGATGTTTTATACTTATTAACGATGATTGCCAATCAATAAAAGTGCAGTAATTTCAATTTCAAAAAACGAAAAAGCTTAACAAATGCCCTGTCCCAAGAAAGTTTTACCTAAACAACCTGAGACACTATGCAACAGTTTTTCTTCCATGCAACCTCTTCAGGACTTTGGTATTTGAATATGCTGTGCAAATACCAAATAGTTCCCAAAAAGTAGCGGCAAACTTACTAGCTTATCAAGCAAGCCAAGAGAGAACTGCGAATGGAAACAAGTGTAAGCTATACGGTTTGAAAGAATTTCAATTGCTGTTTTGTTCACTAAATATACAAGAACTTACAGATTCTTTACAGTTAACTTGATTGCCGACAATTGCTAAACTAAGATAGGCAAAAGTTCCCATTCATACAATGTACAAAAATACGGTTGAACTTACAGAAGAACGAATTATAAAATTGGTATTTTAAATAATTTTGTCTTTTGGACCGGAATGTGACATTAGCCTACATTAAAGAGTCGTTTGATGTTTCGTGTCAAAAATGCGCTGGCAAATATCCCAATGGTCCCGAAAGGGACGATGGTCAATAAAGCTGGCGACTGGGAAGATGTTACGCTCATCAGAACGAGGATTGCCAGAGCGTACAGGCACACGTTAAAGGCAAGATGCTTTCTCGAGTGGAAAAACGCAGCCGTAAAATTAGCGAGAAAAGCACCGATGATGATGTCCCCAGCTCCAAGATAAACATGTTTTGTTGATGGACCGAATTGAACAGAGAACACTGTTGGTAAGTCATACCTGATGTTGTGAAGTGAAATGTCACAAAGCAGGGTCTTACAAGGTGTCACCAGTGAGAAAAAGCGTGATGTAATGGCTGAGGGTAACTTACTCAAAGCAAAAACATCGTAGAAAAAAGCAAGCCACATGAATATTTGCAATGAAATAAAGTTCCTGAACTTAACGTAACGAGTCATTGCTGCAACCAGTAGAACTATTGTATTATTAACTATCCATCTGTAGCTTGTATTTAAGCTTTTAAGCCAGATAACACAGAGGGCTAACGCGAACAACACCGAAAACAATCTCGATTTTATCCATTTCCGCATCGCAATAAATATGACAATACTGATAGACAAATGTTGAACCAACAGAACTGCTCCTGCAACGTGATTGCCGGCTATGCCGAAGAGCACCATCAGGACAAAATATAGAACAAGTCCAGCAGAGTATAGCACATATTGCTTCAACAGCGACTTACGATTCTTGATCTCCGTTGAACTCTCTAGCATTGATGGATCAGTCAGGCTGCTTGATTTATCCAACAGCAAAAAGCTATCCGGAATAATAATATAACTACCGCATGAATCCTTTTCTTCTTTTCTGTTTTCTATATCTGCCAAGGCATTGGCGAAAATGATAATACTAACGGCAAAGTCCAAGATAAAAGTATTTAAGTCAAAATTAGAATAAAACGAAGACTTCATGGTTAAGACACTAACTATTTCGGAAAATCAGCATTTGATATACAGTTTTCTTCACAAAATCTGCATTAGCAACTCGTCTTTACCAACCGGTCTAAGCTGCTTAGAAGTCTAATCTTCGATGAGCCACCCACCGTCTTGGAATTTGTCCGTTATCATAACCATTCCATATAAAAGGTATACATATCAAGATGAAGCTCCGTAGATAGTGCGTGAATTTCTTATTCGGTTATTTACCGGGCAATTTCTTTCAATTGTATGCTCAATCAATTTTCCAATGCAATTCTCAATCAAGTTTAAGTTGAGCAACTTACAGACAGTAAGTTAAACCACTCTCGCACGTAAAGCTAAGCAATCATTGGCTGTTGAGAAAAGCAGGCCATTGTTTTCAATCTTAGTAACATCATAGGGATCCAGAGTAATCGTATTATCTTATGTACGTATCATATTGTGCTAGTGTTAATACTAAAGCGTCAGTGATTTCGAAACAAAGAAACTCCAGCTGACGAGAACGGGTAGTCTATCCAGTAACCTCCCTACCAAACCTATTTTATAAACACAGTTGACGGCAAAAAAGGAATTGTTTTCATTTGAAGGTTCTGCATCAGCTCTCAGAGATTTGAATTGAATTTGCTATACCTGACAAA